ATTCAAATTATATATATATATATATATATATATATATATGTATATATAAAGACCAATAATGGCAGTATGTTATGCATCAATAGCAGCAACAGCTTTTCCAGGTTCTGCAGTCAATTGAACAAAATTGTAGAGACATCCAGGACTCTCCATTTTTTTTTTTTTTTTAAAAAAAAAGTAAAAAACAAAATCCCAGAAAAACAGCACAGTTCTGTTACTCTTGTGGTACCTGGAACCATTTTTTTTTTTTAATTAGCTTCTCAATCATCATCTGGGAGGAAACCATTCTGAGCAACATTATTAAAAACAGCTCTGATAAAGCACGGTCACTACTATGTATCATAAAGCAGGTCCACATATGAGTGAGTACATATCATGTTTGTCTTTTTGTGATTGGGTTACCTCACTCAGAATGGTTTCTTCAAGTTCCATCCATTTTCCTGCAAATTTCAAGATTCCATTGTTTTTTGTTTTTTATTTTTCTGCTGAGTAGTACTCCATTGTGTAAATGTACCACAATTTCTCTATCCATTCTTTGGTTGAGGGACATGTAGGCTGCTTCCAGTTTCTGGCTATTACAAATAATGCTGCTATGAACATGGTTGAACAGATGTCCTTGTTATATGAATTAGCACTACTCTTTCTATGTAAAATAATCTGATTTGAACTTCTGTAATTGCATTTTAAAACTCCTTTTGGTTTTTTTGTTTGTTTGTTTGTTTTTTAAGCCTATGAAAAAGTAACAAGATGGGCAGGAGAAATGGCTCAGCTGTTAAGAGCACTAACTGTTCTTTCAGAGGATCCAGGTTTGATCCTCAGCACCCACATGGCAGCTCACAACTGTCTGTTACTCCAGTTCCAAGGGACCCAACACCCTCACACAGACATACATGCAGGTAAAACACCAATGCATATAAAATAAATAAATTATTAAAAGAAAAGAAAAGGTACAAGACATCCAAAGTGACTGCTAAAAAGCCCAATAACTCAACAAAGTAGGCTTAACCCTGGACACTGAGCTGCCTAGAACGGGAGAAAACAAATCCTACCGAGGAAGGCTTTCTCTGTCCACAGATACTCCTCAAGGCCATCAAGAACACCTGCCAAATCCTCTCCCTCCAGTTATTTGTGAAGCAGCAGCCAGGAAGACAGGCCTCCTTACATCACTTCTCATCTTTCTGAGCCTTAACCTACTTTCTCTTGTTGCTGATGCCCTGGGATTGTACTATGCCAAACAAACCCTCAATTCTCAATCCTTAGCCTTTGTTTTAGGGAATAAAGTCTGAAAAAATTTTGAAGGAAGGAAAGAAAGAAAGAAAGAAAGAAAGAAAGAAAGAAAGAAAGAAAGAAAGAGTCACCTCTCAGCAATTGTCTAGACACAGAATGCTCTGAGCTCACAAACCTAGCAAGAACACTCAACATTAATGCAAAGTTAAACAGAAGTAGTGAAGGCTGCACAACAAAGCAAGTCAATGGGCAGCTTTGCATCACTACAGCAAGACACCTTACATAGGTGAACTACAAAGACACAAGTTTTGTTTGGGCTCATTTGCCAAACTTCCAGTTCTCAACATCGGCCCCTTTGCTTTAGGCCCATAGTAGGTAACAAACACATCATGAAGTAAGGACATGGCAGAGCAAACCTGGTCATTTTATGACCAAAAAGAAAAAGAAAAAGAAAAAGAAGAATAGGCCAGGGCCCCAATCCCATCAGTGCTATGCTTCTAATGACCTACAATCCTCTCCCTAGGCTCTTAAAGGTCCCATCAACTTCCCAAAAGCCACCTGGGAACCACCTGTTAGTTACAGGTCTTTGGGAGCTATTATGATCCAACTACAGAGCAAAATAACTAAACAAATAATTTTAAAGTTATTAAGAAAAAAATTAATTTAAAGTTCTTAACAGTTGAAAACTAATTTTGTAGGTCCCAGAAAATATGACTATATACGTAGAAAATACCAAAGAATCTACAGACATGCTTTATAATCAACAACAGTTTAGTGAGATTTAGCTGAATATAAAGTTTTGGATACGTAGAAATAAACCTAACTAAAGACATGCAGGACCTCACAGAGGAAACTATGGCGCTTTTTTTTTTTTTTTTTTTTCTCTGTCATAACAAGGTCCTAGATAGTTAAAGAGAAATGCTGTGGATTGTGGATTTCAAACTTGGTATTAAAAGCATCATTTTCCACCAAACTGATGTGTAAGTTCAATGTAATTCCAATATAATCCTAATAGGGTGTGTGTGGGAAGTTCTTGTTTTTTTGATTTTGTTTGTTTGTTTGTTTTTATTTTGGGGGTGGGATATAGTCTAAAATTTATATAGAATTTCAAAGGGTTAAACGAAACCAAGGTACTCTTTTTATTATTAAAAGAGAGAATAACCAGTCTACTAAATCCTGAAGGTAAACAGAATTAAAAACACTGTAACTGGCGAAAAGACACACAACCAGATCTATGTAACAAAATCAGAACTTATGTCAGAGGTGGAAGTTACAAGTTCATTCTGTTCCCATATTAAGTCAGGAGGAATACAAACCTCAGCTCAGGTTTTTGTGAATACAGACAAATGTCTACCTCAGGATAAGGAGAGGTTTCTTGTGCAAGAGCAATAAGGTACTGGGGTTGACCTGAGTTCAGTTTAGTAGACTGTCTAGCA